CCCAGATTCATCATTCATCTCTGGGGCCGAGCGCAGTGACTAGGATGTAGTGGGTGCTCAATAAATGTTTGTCAAGCGAGTGATGGCTTGGTTAGCACGATGAGAATTGATGGTGCCCTTTCTGATCTGCCGTCCATCATGCGTGGAGTGGAACACAACTGGAGGCTTTAAACGATGCCCCTTGAGAATATAAGAAGAGGCGGGGTTAGAATGAGTAATCACCACCTTTTATTGAGTATTTACTGTGGCACCTTCTTAGGCTTTTCAAATGTATCAGTGCACTTAATCCTGAGATCAATCTGCTAAAACAGGTTCTGTTTATTATCCCTGTTGCAAAGCACAAGGAAGTTCAATAAGTTGCCCAAGGTCACACAGCGGCAGCACTGAGATTCATACCGATGATGTTAGATAACCACTGTTTCTCTCTGCCTTTTAGACTGGTTCCTGGAAGGAATTAAGCCCTAATCTTTGGAAGCATCCATCTTATGTAATGATTTAGCTTCTCTCCTGTACATCTAGAATGGTACAAGTTATGTTCCATCCTAGGGAAAAAGGAGAAAACAGCCACTCAGACAGCTTTCTGTGGTTCACACGACAGGTCAGAGTTAGGAGACAAAGAATTGGTTTTATTTTTTATTTTTTTTGGCCATGCCATATGGCTTTCGGGATCTTAGTTCCCCAACCGTGCCCCCTGCAGTGGAAGCGTGGAGTCCTAACCACTGGACTGCCAGAGAATTCCCAAGAATTGATTGTAGATGGTAGTTGAAAGTATAGCAAGTGTTCCCCAGCCTCTGTTCTCCAGCCAAACTGAACTACAATACTGTCATTTCCTACAAGAACCATCTAGACCTCTAGACCTTCGCATATGCTCTTCCCTCTGCCTGTAACACACTTGCCTGCTCTCTCTTCCTTCCCCAAGGCTGGTCTTGGCTTCTCTTTCCCACCAGTTCAGATGCCATTGCCCACCCGTTCAAGATAGAGGGTCCCTCCAGTCCCTGATGTCCCTGTTGTGGCACTGGGTGCTATAGTGCTGACCACCACACCCGGAGTTGATTTGTGTGTGGGGCGAGGGGAATGATTATCTGTTTCTGACAGGTTCACACCCTGGGCCTGTTGTCTTCTGTCCCCCATTTATCCCCTGCACCTCGGCTGGTGCTCGGACACAGCGTGTGTTCACTAAATGTTTGTCGAAGGAGTGGACGAATGGGGGTTCATTTTGCTTTACACTTTTGAGCCTCGGGTTTTGAAGTGGTCAAGTCTGTTCTGTCACACAGCCATCGTTTGCCACGTCTTGTGTGTGCACACTCGGCGGGTGCCGTGGGGAGTAGAGAGATGACCGGCGTTGCTCTTGTGCTGAGGTGCCTACGACCTAGGGAGATGCTTAGGTGGTCACATCACCCTCCCACATCAGCACAGCGCAGTGGGCCAGTGATAGAACTGGAGGTGGCTGCGCTCATGCTCTTGCGAGTCAGCAGCACCAAGGAAGCCCCATTGCAACCCAAGACCTCCCATCCTCAGGGTTTCCCAAGAACCACCAGGAGTAACTGTGACCGGTGGTTCTTGTTTGTGAAGAAGTAGAAACCCAAATTAGGAAGACGAAGCAAGCCTCATACATTTGGGGAAGGCACGTTGAAAAGTGCACCCTCGTGTAGGTAACAACACATTGGAGGTTAGATTTAGCCCAAGAGAAAAACTTAATAACTAAAAACTAGAACACTTTACTTTGTAAATAGAGCTAAGACTTAAAATCAGGTGTATTTAGGACATCTCTACTTGGTTTCCTCAGGCACCCTATCTTACTTTGTCTAGAACTTAATTACTCATCCATTTCCCTCAAAACTTGCTGCTCCTGCTTCTCTTGTCTTCCATCCCTCCTCTACTGGAACCACCTGATGCTCAAGCCAGGAATTCAGGTGTTTCTCTTGATGCTTTTCTAGTTCTCAGGCTTTCTCTCCTTCGCACTGCCGTCATCAAGGTGGGAGTTGGCCTCCCTTCTGCCCCTCTTGATTCCAGTCTCCTTTCCTCCAACCTGTTGTTAGTGCACATTCTAGAATGCAGGTCTGATCCCATCATTCCTCTGCCTCTGGGTATATGGAGAGTCCTGGTCCATCCCCACCAGGCCCACTGAGTTCAGGCTGTCTGTTTCACCTCTGCCAGATGACATGCAGTTCCCTGTAGAGAACATGACGTTTGTCTGTTTTTAGACTTATTTCCTTTTCTCCTTTAACTAATTCTCCCTTGTTCTTTAAAGCTTTTTCCAACCTGGGTCGTTACTTGAGTCTTCGGCAGGGAACATTCTTCCAGAATTTCACATCCTCAGTGTCTAATATTGCTGGGCACATAGGATGTGCTGTGTAATGCCTGCTGAAAGATTAGCTGAGAGGATGGGGAGTTCCCTGGTGGCCTAGTGGTTAGGATTCCAGGCTTTCACTGCTGTGGACAGTGTTCAATCCCTGGTTGGGGAACTGAGATCCCACAGGCTTCGAGGTGCAGCCAAAAAAAGGATTAGATGAGAGGAAGCAGAGGCTTTAATTCACATTGAGCTGTAAAGGAGCAATAAATACCGGGCTCTTCTGAAAATGGGTTTTGTTTTAGGGTGGGAGAAGAGTGTTAAGATACCAGTTACTTACTGGAAAAGGTGGCTGGGGAGTGCTGGAGGAGAGGAAGATGAAAGGAACCCCACAGAGCAGAAAAAGAGGTGATCTGGGGGGTTGCCTACCTTAGACCACCAAGAGGAAGGCCAGTCGTCTGCTGTAGCAGGCTGCCAAAGAATGTTTCCTTATACAAAAAGGGGACAGGTCTACTGTGTGTAATTAATTACTCAGACTCATTTCCAATTTGACACCCTACAATTCTTAAAGTTGAAAATATAAGCCAGGCATTCTGAATCGGTGTGAAAAAATTTCCCCTCTCTTCACTTTATTGCAAGCTCCGTAGTAGCAAAGACATTGTCTCTGCATTCAACAATTTTGCATTTTAGAAACAAGGAAGTAGAAAACTGCATTAATACGAGATTATGTTTGAGAATTTAAGCTCCCAAATCAGGAAATCCACTCAGCATTCTCTTGGTAGCTCTCGTTTAGATGCACCACACACCCACTTGCAGACAGCCCCTCGTGCCAGAGCCCGCCCTGCGGTGGCCGCGAGTTATGGCGGATTGGGGATCATTACCTTGATCTTCTTGGCCCTTGGGTATTTCACTTCTCCAAGTTAATGTGTGCTCTTAAGTGTTACATTATCTTGTAGCAAAGTAGTCATTTATAATTTATATACTATGTACTGGCTTAAAATAGAAACAAGAGGATAATCAGCATCCTGAAGCTCCTAGTTTTCCAAAATAACATTTCTTCAGTGAAGTCCGCCTGTAGGAATTAAAACCTACCGTGAATTTAAAAACCCTTTGTCCCAGTGTCAGACTGGGACACAGGTGTGCCAACAAGCATTATTAAGCCTTACAAAAGGGGAAGATCATCTTTTTAAAATAAAACATTTTATTTTATTTTACTCAAAATAATTTCTAAAGAACTCAACCTTTGTAGTGTTGCAGGGGCCCCACTCAAGTCACAGAGAGGGGACGGGGGCAGAGCTAGAGCGTCTTTTGGAGAAGGACAAAAGCTAATCCATATCTCCACCCTGTGTCTGCTGCTGTTTTGGTGTGCTTCCATCTAGGCTGCTCCTTTGCTCTTTGACTTTGAATATACACACGGAGAAGGATGGGCTTTCCTGTTGAGTTCCTCGTAGGGAACACGCCGTCCATTCACATATATTAAAAATAGAAGGCCTGCTTGAAAAATCCTCTAGAATCAGGTTTTAGCAAACACCAATCAGATTTTAGAGGTCTAACTTATTTTTTTTCCTTCTTGCTTTTACAAGAAGTCTCTGAACCCTGAACTTTCCCCAGTTCCTTTTCATTGTGCATCTTCAGTGTGCCAGGACCTTGGGTGGAAATTTCTAATGAGAGCAGGAGAAGGACAGACGCCCCTGCAGTCAGGTGGTCTTCCTCTTCCGATGTCTGGTGACCTCGTATTTGAATCCACCATCTGTGCCCACCATCTCCGTGACGTGTCTTGTGCTCATCCCTGTACGCAGGTGTCCATTTGAATGTCCACCTGATACTTGGGGGCCACTGACTGGGGTCAAGGCCAGCAGCCGCTATGGGTGGCTGCATCACGGGTGGCAACATTTACTGAGCTCCTGGGTATTTTCTTCCCCTATTATGATATTGAACATGCTTTTCTGGCCACAAGATTGAAGAGCTGAGAAATGGGTTTAGCAGCCATTGCTTCAGGTCCTTTTGAAAATGAGGCTACGGGATTAGCACACTACAGTGTATTCCTGTCTGTTTGTCCCCTGGGTTTTGATACAAGAGTTTGAAGTTGCTGCATGTGGCTGTAGGTGGACACCTCCTCTTTGGCCTTGGTTACACATCATGATGGGGAGAGACCCGTGATTGGACTGGCTGGTCTCTAGTGGTTCTTTTTCCCCATGATTTGTGACGTCAGTTACAACTTCGTACCCTATGTTGCGTTTTAAAAAAAAATCAAGTAAAACTAGTCTTTACATTTTAAAAAGCTAGCCTTTTATTAAAGGGCAGAGTCATGATTAAAAAGAAAATCAACAAGAAAATCTTGAGGAAACGAATGTCTCTAGAAGCTAACCTTGGGTTAACGGGAGAAGCTTGACTCTTAAATGTGGACGTTATTTACCAGCTTTCCTAAATTGGCAGCTTTGGGCATATTAAGATCTGTAAGGAACTGTCCAAGGGAGGTATTGTGTATGCTTTGCAGTGATTAAGCCATTAAGCTCTAATTATTATTTTCCCACTCATGGTTTTGTGTAGGAAGGTTTACAATTATTTAGGAATTCTGTGCTCCTCAGCCATCTTAGCGTCATCCCCACCTTTCAGAACCTGAGGTGGGGGGAGCAGAGAAAAGGTTTTCCTGCGAGCAGATTACCACTTGGGCTCAGCTGTCTTCCCCTGTTGGTTTGTTCCCTTGCAGATGAAGTGGAAGGGGAAGGACCTGTTTGACTTGGTGTGCCGGACCCTGGGGCTTCGGGAAACCTGGTTCTTTGGCCTGCAGTATACAATCAAGGACACCGTGGCCTGGCTCAAGATGGACAAGAAGGTGGGCCCAGACCCTGGTGACGCCAGTGGGGCTGGCATGGGCTCTGGATTTCCCCTGAGCATGTGTCTAGCTTATTGCTCATCATGGGGCATTATGGGTACACAGCAGAGAGAGGGGCGGGTTGCGGAGGAAGTTATACGGGACAGGATGCGGGCCTAGGGAGGCCCCACCCCTGTTCCTCACCGGCTACCCCGGGGCCTGCAGAACCACCCAGGACTGACCAGGTGCCATCCCTGGCTTCTTCCTTGTTGTCACCGGGTGTCACCTGATTGCTTCAGGCTTAATGCCATTCTGTTGACTGAGCCATGAGTCAGGCTTCGTGGATAAAAATTACTATTGTATTATCGTTTTGGGTTTTTTCCCCACAATTTATGTCTTTGAAAGATTTTCTTGGGGCTCCTGTTCTTTAGGGAATGTTTTAGAGTATTTTTGAGAAACACCATGGCCCAACTCAATTTATTCATTAACATGATCTAAGGAATAAAGAGTGCCCTGGTTCCCGCGGTGAAGGAAGAATGTCTATTTTGTTCTCATGATATTCTGGGGCTTCTGAGGTCTGGTGTACAAGTCTGACTCCCAGCAGTTCTAATGTGGCTTAGAAATGGATATTGCCTCGGGGAACTGCCCTCTGCGTGGGTTCTTATGTGCTCACAAAGACGCTGTCACCTACTTACCTGCCAACCTATCCATGGAGACGCTGAGAGCAGGTCCGTATGTTTTAGTCAGTGACTCCTAAAAGATCCCTGAATCTCTGAGTAAGTCAGTGTCTCATTTTTACCCCAAATTACCCCCTGAAATTGCCTACCTCATTCTATTATCTACTACTTTGCATGATAAACAGTGAAAGCCTCCCGTCTTCTACCAGTTGGACTCTAAACTCAGGCGTTCAAATTGTGTTTACATATGTACGCAGTAATCTGAATCTTCACATTGGGGTCCCTGCTGGTTATAAATTTCACATGGTAATTCCCAGCGATCATGAATGTCCAAGTGCTGCCATGCCAGCAAGAGCGTCCTAGATCAGGTTTATTTTGAATCTCTTGGGCACCACGACCAGGAATTTGGGCAGGAGCCTGGAGAGTTATCTACCAAAGACAGCAAAACCTTCAGTATCACTTTGTGACTCTCAGCAAAGTAAATTTGAAATCGTACCTGAGTGTTGGCCAAATGGATATTAGATTGGGGGCCTCAGGAGCCATGGAGCCTGCTGCTCAAAGGAAATAAATTATGACACATGTTAATGGAGCCTTGTAGCCTGTCACATGGCATGTTTATGTCCTGAGATGAAATTCATTCTGGAGAGCAGATGGCTCAAGCTTTCCAGTGGGTGGATGAAATTGTTAGAATATTAAAGGCAGAGTGGTTTACTGGCTGTGCTCAAGTATTTCGTGGGGCATCTCTAGAGGTTCCTTGAAACAAAGGGTTGCCATGATGGACGTGTTTTACTTTTGTTGCTCAGTTAATGTTTAGACGATCTCACAAATATTTAGTTCTTCATCTCTAAGCTCCATTCCAGTATGGACCTAAATGTTGTAGGTAGTCAGCAGGACAAAAGAGTAAAGGAAGATTCCACTACTTGAGAAAATTAAAAAACCTTCAGCCTACCCATAAAGGATAGTGCCCAAGGCCTTTGAGTTATAAATTTCTAGTTTTTAGCTATCTCTGTGGCCTTGAAAACATTTGTGCCTGAATCATCTTAGCTCCACTCACCACTTGGGGATATTGATTAATTCACCATGTGAAGTGAATATTACCTCCTGTTATAGATGGGTTTGTGAATACTTCAAACTGTAGAATCACAACCTTTGGGAAATGTGATAAATTTAGAAGGGAGAAAAATGTTTATACACTCCCTGCAGAAGGTCCTTTGATGGTGGCCTGGGAGGGAGAGGGGCGAAACTAGCTTGTTTTTCTTTTGCTCTGTAATTCCGCAGGTGCTGGATCATGACGTTTCAAAGGAAGAGCCAGTCACCTTTCACTTCCTGGCCAAATTTTATCCTGAGAATGCCGAGGAGGAGCTGGTTCAGGAGATCACGCAACATTTATTCTTCTTGCAGGTACCCCTTTCCATGCTACCCCCCTGATCTTGAGAGAACCGCCCCCAGGGGTAGCAGCAGAGGCAGCCTGGGCCAACCCCTCGGATTTGACCACAAATGCCTCCACATTGTGAAAATGTTCTCCCTCTGGAAAGCCAGTCCCTTTGGTTCTATAATGAAAAACAGTCTTCAGGACAGAACTATACTTGAGTGATGATAATTGGCATCAAATGAAATTGCAAAAGTATGATGGCGAAAGAACACATACAAGTAGCTCCCTAACTAGAAACATCTTTGAAGATGGCTCCTCACTAACTTAGAAGTACTCAATAGTTGCCCAGGAAGTCTAAAAAGAGTCTTGCAAAGAGTAGTTCTTCCAGAAATTTTAAATTTGCTCTCATGAAGGCAGGACTTCAGAACTCCAGTGACACTTGGTAAATCCCACACACGTGGTACTTCAGACATCATGTTTCATGCCACTCTTTGTCTATATTGCCTTATTTTCCACCTATTCCCTCATTAGACTGTAAGCCCCTTTAAGGCAAGGCTCGTTGAGTGCACGGTGGGCACCCCATAAGTAATTGTTCCACCGAATTGAAGAAATTAGGAGATCCATAATTATAGGTTCAAAGACAGCTAGTTGACCATCTAGAGGTGCAGCTAGGGGGACTGGTGTGAGGATGAGAACCTTGTCAGTTTTGCTTGTGTTCCTACTGCTCGCTCAGAGCACTTTCCGAGTTTCACGGTTAGTTATGGTGCTTGGTGCTGGAACGGCTGGTGTGTCCACCATCAGTGATGGAAAAGACCCTAGCAGGGCGTTAATTACATGATTGCCCAGACGTACACGTATAGCCTGGCCTCCTATAATTAGTTTAAGCCTCAGATTATTGCATTAAGTAAATATTAAGTTAAATGTAATAACCCCCTCCAATAATTTCTCTTGCAAAAAAAAGTTTGCCAAAAAAAGTGTGTGTGTTTGTATATCCCCTCTCCAATATTTTCATGTCAAAGGGAAGCCCTTTTAGTTTTTCTGTAGTGCAGCTTAAAACCGAAGGATTAGAAAGTTGCCCTGCTTTGAATGAAACCACAAAATGACCTCCTAGGCCCCAGAATGTCCTAGCCATGTAGAGATGGTTTTCTTGTAAGCAGTGCCCATTCTCCATTTGACTTTGGCTTAATTTCCCCTCCTACTGAAATGTTGGAGCGCTTTCATGGCTGAGCAAGGCAAAATTTACTACTTTTATGAATCTGGTGACTGCTGACGTCTGTGAAAGAGAGCTGGCTTTCCCGTTGTGTTTATTTCAGCATGCCCTCACTTCAGGAGGCTGTCTTGCCTCTATGTCTGGAACATCACCCACCGTACCAGTCTAAGAAATTAAATGCAATGAGATATGTTAATTCAACATTATGGCTTAAGAATTATATTTCCCGGACCTCAAGTGGACTTAAAGGTTAATCGATCAAACTTTATTGCTTCCTTTTTCCTTAGAGCAGGCATATTGAAAGTGATGGGTTTTTTTCCTGCAGTCATAACTCAGTGGCCTCGCTGACTTTGGTCTTGTGTTAAGACTTAAAAGCAGACTCCATTTCCTCTGATTCTGCGTGTGCTCAGCTGGGGCCGAGGCTGCAATCACCACCAGAGCCGCTCCTGACATTTCCCGAGTTCACAGCTCTCCTCCGTCACAACCCAGATGTCAGTCTCTTTTTTTAACTACGAAGATTGTTTTTACTCTTTGGCATTTGATCACGAACAGAAGAGATTAAGGGTTTTTTTCTGCGTAGCCATCTTACCAATAACTTCTCAGGGACCGAGCTCCCAGCCTGTCGGCAGCGGTAAAAAGAAAAAATCGTTCCCTTTGTCAGAAAATCATTAGCAGGCTGGGTTGACAGGCCTCATTAGAACACGCTGCAGTGTCTTGCTGTGACCAGCCTGCACGGCTCCTGTCCACACACACGGTATCATGTCTCCCCTGTTGCCCCTTTCAGGTAAAGAAGCAGATTTTAGATGAAAAGATCTACTGCCCTCCCGAGGCTTCTGTGCTCCTGGCTTCTTATGCCGTCCAGGCCAAGGTAGGCTCAAAGAAGAAAAATGCATTCTTCCTGGGCATTAATGCATGTCACAGGATCACACTAGTCATCTGTTTCTTTGGATCTTCTAGGCTTCAGAGACTTTCCCCAGAAAGTGGGATGCTGTGGCGCTTGTGGACTTGGGGGACCACTCTCACTGTTCCACTGCTGTATCATCTTGTGATAGTGTCTGTGTGTGTATAAACGATAAGTGTACAGCTTGATGAATTATCTGTGTAATCTCACTATGCACACGTGGTTAATTACATTCACCCGGCCAACCTCTCTTTTTATTAACTAGGAAGAATGAGGTTATCGTCTCCAGTTTTGGCCAAACATGGCCTTGGGGTCAGAAAGGCCCAGGTCCTCATTGCAAACTCATCTTCTGAGGACCAGCGGCCCTGTGCCTCGGGACCATGTCACACCTTGGGGAATGTCCTGCTTCATCCACCTGGATGGACGTGCTGGCTGTGCTTACGGTTGGGTACTGCAGGCTCTCGGCCCCACCAAGCCCAGTTGAGCTGTCTGGTGACCTGAGAGTCTTTCACAGAGAAATCGCTGCAGACTGGGAGTGGTGGGAGAGGGAGACCACTGGTCTTGTGCTTCTGTCCTCTCTGTTTTTATAAGATGTGCTACAGGGTCTGCCCAGGGTGCTTCATGCCCCTCAGATTTCCGACTTCAATCACATGCCACTTTCTCCTGATCCCTCTGCTTATTACCTTTCACTGCAGCATAAGATGACCTCAGAATTGGGACACCTGGGTTACTTTTGCGATTTTTGCATAATCTTTTCAGTTATTATTTTCCTTTTTAGTTAGAGGTATCCATAAAGCCATTTCCCTGAAATGTTAGAGAAATTAATAAGACCCTCAACGTCTTAGCCCACTTTTTGGGGTAGCTTAAGATAATCTCAAAACTGTCCTATCATTTGGAGGAGAAAACGGTCTGTATGTGCTCGTCACACTAACAGAAGCATCAGGGTCATTTGATGACTCATCTAATATTTGGTGAGTATTCACTGGCCTGAGGGGAGGTTGTTGACTCTGTCACTGATACAGACACGAAGTGAGTATCTGCCCTCAGTGATTTGCCCAAGGTCATTTGGGCAATCTTGGGTAAAGCTAAGGGCAGAACTCATGGCTTTGGGATTGCATTTTGTGCCTCCCCTATTCCATTATCCTGACAAATGAGTAATTGAGAAAACAGAAAAATGGGCCTCGATTCAACTAAAACATATGCTTCCTTTTATGCTTTGATTAAGAATATTAATAACAGGAAAAATGCGTCCTTTCAATCAGTATCGCCCTGACAGTGATGAAGCAGTTGTCACTTTCATTAAATCTGAGCACTTCCTGGCCCGGAACTGAGCTTCTCTCTAGCACGCCTTCTCCCTGGCTGAGAGGAGGCCCAGGTTCTCAAAGATACTACCTCTCTCTGAGGGGGTAGCCTTTAGTCTCAAAGGCTACATTTTCTTTGCATAAATTTTGGGCCACAAATTCAAAGGCCACCTGTAGAAAAAAAAAAACTTTTCAGGGAACCAGCAGATGTTTGCTTAAACAGATTTCACTGTAGGAAAGCCCTCCTAATTTGGATCCTGCTAATTTAGAGATGAAGGTGATTCACAGACAGCATATGGGGTTCATATGGAGGAGCGTGCTTTAACTGTTTTTCCCGGTGTAAATTGTCAGGAACATACAAATAAAGGTAATCTATGGCTTCAAGTCTGCATTTGGGAAACTAAGGATTATTATAACATGCTTCCAGTTTCTAGGACAGCTGTTAATATTAATAGGGTGCCTCTGATTACAATATTGATCAGATCTTACACGCGTGTAGCATTTTACAGTTTTACAAAGTTTTATAACTTGAATATTTCTTGCAATACTAAATGGAGTCTTTTCTGTAAGCCAAAGAATTTAAGGCTCAGAAAGGACTAATAATTTGTCTGAAGTCACAGTACTTGATGTTAATTCTTTTTTAATAAATTTATTTATTTATTTATTTTTGGCTGCGTTGGGTCTTAGTTGCTGCGCACGGGCTTTTCTCTAGTTGCAGTGAGCAGGGGCTACTCTTCATTGTGGTGCACGGGCTTTTCATTACAGTGGCTTCTCTTGTTGCAGAGCACAGGCTCTAGGTGCGCAGGTTTCAGTAGTTGTGGCTCGTGGGCTCTAGAGCGCAGGCTCAGTAGTTGTGGTGCACGGGCTTAGTTGCTCTGCGGCATGTGGGATTTTCCCAGACCAGGGCTCAAACCCATGTCCCCTGCATTGGCAGGCGGATTCTCAACCACTGCGCCACCAGGGAAGCCCGATATAAATCCTTTTTTAAATGGAGTTTGTAGCCCACTTCTTAATGGACAGGATTTGAAGCAGAATGGAGCTGGAGAATGGAGCAGGGGTGAGAACCCTAGTGTCTGGATGGCATAATTTAGCACTTGCTCTTGCCCTCACTGTGAGAGGGGTCTCTGAGTACCACACACTACCTTTCACTAAATTCCCGGTTCATTTATATGGTCACATCAGTCCAAACTTTTCAGTAAATCATCCTGGTTCCTTCCATTATATTCCATTTCTTTTCTTCCACAACCTTTCTGAGACAGATAGGAAATGTAAAAGTGTGGTGGGGAAAGTGAATTGAGCTCATTAACACATGGGATGTAATTACGCACAAATGTATTCATTACAGTATTTCAGCTGTTCAACTGATATAGACGGTTCATTCCAAAGCATAAAGAAACAATTACCCTTAAAGCATAAATACAGATATTAATCACATGGTTCAGTTAACAAGAACCATATTTCTTAGTAGGAGTTTAGGTTGTTTTTTTGTTTTGTTTTGTTTTTTGCGGTACGCGGGCCTCTCACTCTTGTGGCCTCTCCCGTTGCGGAGCACAGGCTCCGGACGTGCAGGCTCAACGGCCATGGCTCACGGGCCTAGCCGCTCCGCG